AATTAGTTCAACCATTGCGGAAGACAGTGTGGCGCTTCCTCAAGGATCTAGAAATAGAAATTCCATTTGACCCAGCAATCCTATTACTGGGTGTATACCCAAAGGACTATACATCATTCTGTTATAGAGGCATATGCACACGCATGTTCATCGCAGCACTGTTTACAATATCAAAGATCTGGGACCAAATCAAATGCCCATCAATAATAGACAGGACAAAGAAAACGTGGCACATATATACAGCCATAAAAAATGATGAGTCTGTGTCTTTTGTAGGGACATGGATGAACCTGGAAACCATCATTCTCAGCAAACTGACACAAAACAGAAAATCAAACACCACGTGTTCTCACTCATAGGTGGGTGTTGAACAATGAGAACACTTGGACTCAATGACGGGAACATCACACACTGGGGTCTGCTGTGGGGGCTTATGGGAGGGATAGTGGGGGGGAGGGATAACTTTGGAAGAAATGTCAGGTATAGGTGATGGGGGGATGGTGGCAACAAACCACCTTGCCATGAATGTAACTATGCAACAATCTTGCATGATCTGCACATGTACCCCAGAATCTAATGTACAATAAAAATTTTTTTAAAAATTTACTTATGGGTTGAAAGTCAACTAAACCTATAACTTAAAATCTAAGAGGAAAGAAAATTTGTCAAGATCTTACTCAACCAGGTAGATGGTGAGATGTCAGTAAGAAAGATGCAACAACATTTTATTTGTAGGTGTGCAGAATATTATTTATTTTTTTGTCCAAATCTGGCAGAAAATAAGACTTGGTAAAAGCTTCATTACAATAAGCAACAGAAAAAGTCGATTCCACATTTATTGAAAAATCCCACTTATAAAATACAAGAAAAAACAAATTTTTGAGAGTACTTTTTTTCAGTAAAATTCAATGAAATATGGGCTCTATTAAACACATGAACAAAATTATATTATAATGACTGAAATGGGAAGGTATCCATAAGTGTGGAAGGGAATAAGAAAGCTGAATGAAGTAAAAAATATAAAAGGAAACTAAAATGCAACTGTCCATGTGGTTTTTACCAGAAATAACAATATTCAGAAGTAACTGTAACAAAATCTGAATCTTGGTTTCAATTCTAATGTGTTAATGGAATTCAGAAGTCAGAGAAAAATAGCCAATAAGCAGAAAATATCCAAATAAGATAATGGATATTTATATAAGAGAAAAATCCAACGTAAGTTTATATTTCCTGAAAATAATATTAGAACAAATGTAAGAAAAGCAATAAACATAAAATAGATATAAGCATTCCTGAGTTAGAGAAATGCCTGATTTTAAAGATTGATGTGAATTACTGTGTAATAGAAAAATAATTCATGAAAAGAGAACAATGTTCAAACTTATGCTTATGAAATTAATATTAAGAGTAATAAAGGTAATAAATGAACATTATAAGGCTACACTTTGGGAAATATAATAAAGGAATTAAAAATGCTTAAGTGGAATTGCTATTAAGAGCATCTTCTCATATCCTTAATTATTCTTTTAAAAATGTTACTTCCATGCTTCATCACATTTATATACCATGATTGAGTTAGATTTTTCCTATTAGTGGATACTTGGGTTATCTAAAGTGGCTTACATTTTAAAATAGCTTTGTTATAAGTTTTATATGCATATTTGTATAGCTTCTATGAGTATTTCTTAGACTACTTAGAATCTTGGAAGTAGAATTACTGACTCAAAATTTATCAACATTTAAATATCCATAATACATATTTCCAAATTGCTTTCCACAGACATGGCTATTTCTACACTCTCTAGCCATTCCATCTTCTTTTACAGCTCTTCTCTACTCATTTACTTAAGGTTTATGCATTGTTTTCTATGCACTCATCATAGTATTATTTCTGGAGACACGAAGATACATTAAATGAGAGTCTTCACATTAGAAAGCTTTCCGTGGAGGCAGAACTAGAGAGGGGTATGTTGAAAATGCTATGTAACAGACAATTATAAGACACTGTGATAATAATCATCTAGATCAGTGACTGATAAAAGATGTTATGACAGTCAAGAGAAGACATTCCTAACCCAGACCACAGATGCCAAGGACAGTCCCCTGGTAAAGAAGTGACACGCTGTGTTGTGTGAAAAGAAATTAATTCAGTGAGATTAAATTTGAGTTTAAGGAAGTGAAAAGAGAAAGTGTGTGTAGGAAGGCACCAGGTAATGTCATGACGGAGAGAAATAAGAACAAAAGAACAAAGGCAAGAAACACAGAGAGGCTAGAATCATCAGCAGTTTAGCATTCTTGGAAAGCGAAGTTTGATGGACGGCATAGTAAAATCTCAGGAAATCAGTTTTAGGAGCTTGGCAACTAAATACCATTTCCAAATCATTGGAAATCAGTTTTAGGAGTCTGGCAATTAAATACCACTAAAGGCCATTAAGCTGTTATAGTTGTGTGTTGGAGAGATTCACCTGGAAGACCTGTGTATAGTATACTTGATAGATTCGTTTGTGATGATTTCTTCTTTGTAAGCCAAGTTGTTGACAACTGGCTCAATAAGCTGGTAAGTGCCCAGACTTGATGTTTATTATAAGAATTCATTGACCCCATTTTTATTTGGGTGATGGCCAAGCAACATTTTTTAGCCCAATAGCTGTTATGACTATTTAATTGTTTAAGCCAAAGTTTTATAAAGAACATCTCTAGAAGATATTCTGTACCAATAAGAAATCCAGATAAAAACTGTCATCTGAATAAATGAAAATGTATGTATATAAATAAATCTACTATTGCAGGCTGAGTTTTCATTCTTCTCTGGCAGCATGGAATGCTTTTTCATTCTCATTCACCTTACTTCTTTTTTTCCTTATTTTCCCTGAGGTTTGCATTTCTTAAATACTTGTCAAATCAACAGGTAAAGTTGAGGAAAAGGCAAATAAAAGGGTACTTTATGATCTCAAAGATAGTGAAGCCAGCCCCATTGTCCATAGAAATCATGTTTACCGTTTCTTTTGAATAAACGTAAAAATTGACCTTTACAGTCTTAAAACTTGACAGACTTACATTTGTTTTATCCAAGTTTCTTTCCCAGGAAACCAACCATCAGGCTTCCCAGACAGTATCAAGAAACTGAAACTTACCAGATCACCACATCTGCACAAGGAGATGCTGGACCCTCACCTCTCATGATTGCCTAATGATCACCTGTGCCTGCTGATCAAGTCCTCTTCCTTATCCGTCTCTAATTCTTGTTTTCTCACATATACTTAGATGTTTCCCCTGCTGTATAAACCCCTAATTTTAGTTGGCTGAGACAACAGATGTGAGATATTATTTCTCTTTCTCCTTAACTTCAGCACCCAATTAAAGCCTTTTTCCCTGGCAATACTCTTCGACTCAGTGACTGGCTTTCTATGCGGCGAGCATTTGGACCGAGGGCAAACTGCTGGCCTAGTAGCACTCAGGAATAGTAGCACTCAGGCAAGAGTATGACATTTAATTTCCAGGCTTTCACAAACCCTGGTCTGTGGACAAGGAGAAGATACTGGTGGACAAATAGAGGTTCTTCTAATTTTTTTTTAAATGTAGACAGTTTTCTTCTAATCTTGAATATATATTATATGCTGCTCATACAATTATATTTTATTTTTTGTTTAACTCAATCTTATGGTTAAATGAAGATTCTCTGCAGTTGACTGTGGTCCTTACCACCTATGTTTACATACATATTTCAGTTGAAAATGGTGACAAGAGGTATCAAAGACTGTAAAGAAAACCATATTTACACTAAATATTTTTACCTGATACAAGCTTCCAAAAAATTGATAGCTAAATATTCAACTCTGAAAAAGTAATCAAAAATTGAGTTTTTAGTATATTATTTGTTTTTCTTTTTTATGTGAATATTAAGAAAGAAATAGAAGACTGTCCACGTTTTTCCTTGGTGTCCATGTATCTTAAAGGTAATAACAAAGAATGAATTGTTAGGTATAGGATAGATTTAAAAACCAAAATCTTTCCCTACCTGCTTGTTAGGCTCTTGCAATGTGACCTGCTTGGCCAATGGAACTTTATCAAACATAATGCAGACAGACAGTTGCAAAGTATTTGCATGCTGGCGTTTCCTCTCTTGTTGCACTTGGAACCCTATATCCACATAAATAAGTCTAAGCTAGCATTCTGGAAGATGAAGTGCCATTATGGAGAGAAGTGATACACCCAGCTGACAGCCAGTGGTGACATATTTCAGATAATGATTATGGCAATGATAGAATACCACCCTAAAGCAGATCTGCCAGTCAAACTGCCAGCTGAGTCTGTAGATGCACAAAAGAGCCCAATATAGATCAAAATGTGTTAGTCAAGACACACACAAAAAACAGGTGACTCTAAAAAATTAAAAGTAAATAAAAAGAACATTGTTTTATGTCACTAAGTTTGGTTGCTTTGATGTTTAACATGTTTCATGGTATGAATTGTTTTGGGTTAACCCTGGAAACCACATCACTGAATTACTGTCCTCTTGTGTGGAACAAAATCAGCATATAATCTCAATTTCCAAAATATATGTCTATGCAAATTTTATAACAGTGTTACCTCCTTATATTTTAAAGATGAAATATATTTAAATAAAAATATCCTTACTGGAAAAATTCCTTTCAGTAAAAAAGTAAACATCCAGATATTTATTCTATTAAAAACATGTTTTAATTTCAGCAAGAAGAAATAAAATGGGTACAAATATATGGCTCATAGCTAAAATGGTTTTTCTATATATTAATAATGTCTTTTTTTTTTTTTTTTTTGCTTAACTGATTTTAATAACATGACATAAAGCCCCTAGACTTGATATAATCGTTATGCAAAATACATAGGTGAATACTGTCTTCTTTTAAAAATATAAAATAAATAAGCAAGACATGAAAATAGGCAAGTTTCCATTAAATAAATGAAAATTTTAAAAAAAGAAAGTTTTGCTTTCCATGTCATTTGAAGAAGGGAAATTATCATTTTAAACAATATTCAAGTTTATTAAACAAATAAAAAAGTATTATAAAATGTTTAACTTTCATCGGCTTCAAGGTTTATGTTGCTCCCAAATTTTGCATACAACTGAACTTTCAAATCTGCTAACACCCGCTGAATTGATTCCACTCTGGATTCTAAGGCGTCAATTTCTTCTTGCAAGTTTTTCTTTGCTTCTTCTAACATTTCTTGTGTTTCTTCTTGAGAATGGCTAATGAAAACATCACCAATCTGATAAGGTATCATTAAGCAGTCATCATCTGCAAGCATGATGTCATCACAAGCATCTTCTAGGTTTTGGAGTTGTTTCTTTTTTACTTCTATTTCTTCCTTCAGCTCTGTGATTCTACTTGTATTCCGTGCAAATTTGTTTATCTTTTGTTGATCTTCGAAAGTAACATTGACATCTTCTGCAGCCGCCTTCTTCATGGTGGCCGCCATCTTGGGACTCTAATAATGTCTTTTTAATTGAAAATATGCATCTAACTTAGCTATAATGCTGTCCGTGGTTTTATTACTAATGAAATTTTTACTTTGAAGTGTTCCTCTAAAATATCAGCTTGAACAAATTCTATAATGGCCAATAGAATATTTATATACAGCCTTTAAATTGAGCTATTTCAGTGGAATGTCCGATGTTGTATAATGATGTAGGATTTACTTCCAAAACAACTTTATATTTTTGCCATATGATGCATGTGAAAGTCATTATAAAATTCTGTAAGTTTTTATTTACTAACTCTGTGTCACAGACACTGACTGCCATATCTACTAAGTAAAATCTCAAGTTTGGAAAACACTTAATCGTGATTGTCGAGGCACTTTGTTCTCACTTAGTAAATAATGATTAGCCTCTGTTATTTTCTAGAAAAGCTATACTTGATGAAGCAGTTTGGCAGTGTATTGAATTTAAGAAATCAAAATGATCATATTAGCTTGTGTATCAAATGATAATTGAATGTTTTTAATATCTTACAGATAGAATCCTCCAGTTATTCTCCTTCCTCACTTTTCCAACGTTCCCAAGACTATAAAACAAATGTATTCTTAATTTGAAGTCACTCAGACTATATCTATACCAGGCTATTGATAATTTAATCAAGTTTCTAAAATCAATTACACTCTACTCTATTTAAGTGTAACCTCACATTACCACTAAAGATGGAGAAAATGAAATTTGATTGCTTTTTCAGGTTATTCATCATGAGTACCTAATGGAAACTTGCCAAGCAAGCTCCCTCACCAGACTCTACACTATACCAAAATGTACTCACCAATGTTTTATGACACTTACTGTTCAGTAATCACAGTTATCACTCTAGGACCCACAATGTAAGTTTCTTCTATTGAAGAAAATGAAGTATTATCAAATATTGAACCTCTCATATTTCTTGATAACACTCAAAGGAACTGCTTAGTTCTTATTCATCATTTCTGCATTTTAAAATTTTGAACATAATCTACAAAGCGATATCTAGGGTTTTGGCAAGCAGGATCTTAATGCTCTAGGTATTTAGTGTGAATGTCAAAGTCTGTGATTTCCCCCATAATAAATTTCAATTGACTGGTGTCATTTACTGGAAAGGTTACATGTGATTGAATTTATGACCATTTGCTGCTGAACTCAGCTTATAAATTGCTAATGATTCTGGCAGATGATCCAGTTTCTTATGCCAGTGAAATATTTGAGGTTAATTAAATAGCCTCCATCAACTCTTTTCACCAAAATGCCAATGAACTGATGAAAAGTTAAATAAATGTACTACCCGGTACCCAGTGTGCCAAATAAACTACTCTATACACACACTTTCCTGAGCCTACTATAGTGATCTTCTAAAACAGCTTCAACTGTTGCATTCGTAAAAATTGCTAAATGGTGAAATTATTTGAAGTGTAAATGTTTTCCTCAGCACCACTAGACAGAATCCCATTAGGTCAAAGTAAGAGTCAAATAAATTGAGTAAGTTAAGGAAAGACACAGTTTTAAATATGCAATAATCAACAAATATAAAATTATAAATAAAATTTTAATTCACATCTAACTGAAAATAAAACTAAATTAACGGTAATAAAATTTTTAAATAAAATACTAGATTTCTTTTAGTAAGGAACATATTTTTAATTCTCACCATCTGAGAAAGTATTTCTATTTTGCCAGAGGTACAGTGTTATTTATATGTAAGTAATTCTAAAGTGACATAATTCAAAATCATTAGGTCTTACACACGATACTGTTATTTTTCTGTCCTATATCTAGTCTACCATTCTACTCATCCTAGTTTTTACTAGGACCTTAGTTTCTGTTTTATTTATTTATTTATTTGGCAAACTCCTAGCTAAAGAATTACATTTTTCAGTATTACTTGTTTAGGAGTCAACAAAGAGTTGTAAAATGTTATTGGGTAAAGACTCAAGAAAAGCTTCTTAAAGCTTTATCTGGAACATGAGTATTTTTACTTTCTTTTCTACCGTTTTTCTTTTAGAAATCCTGGAGTTCTGGTATCCAACCTAAATCATAAATGACCTTGAAGATAGTGAAGCAGAAAGATTAAAAGAGGATGACTAATGACTTTAGAGCCACCTCCAGACTTACTTCATGTAAGAAGCAGAAAAATACAGTATTATTAAGATCTTTTTATCAGTCACTTAAATAGCCATTAGTTAATTAAGCAATCATTTGAAATATGGTCAACAAATTCCTTGGAGATGTTTCAGTTTTTGAAAATAGCAGTTTCTATACATTTACTTATGAGGATAAAATAAACTATTTTTGAGTAAATATACATGCAATTTTAAGAGTAAATATACATGCAATTTTAACCTTATTAGCTCTTACCTACTTTAACGAGTCTCAACCCTCTGTATTTACTTCATGTTATATCATCTTTTAAACTAGCTCATCCAATCCCAGTATTTTAGGTATCATAATGATGTCTTTAAAAGTATGATCTCCAGTCTTTACTTTTTCAAAGAGCTCCAAAATAATTTGTATATATCTATGTGCTTGGTGCTATGCTAGGTTGTAAATATACATATATATCTGAACAAATCAATTAAATATTTGCATTCATAATACTGTGCATGACAGACATCAAATATGCAAACTAAAAGCAGTACATTTGTAAGTTTTGTAAAATGCTGTGAATAACAATTTACGATTGTGGAATAGACAGTGACAGAATAGAAAATAACCACATTTTTTAGTCAGGAAAAAGGTAATATAGCAGAGTCTAGAAGGAAGAGAGGAGCCATCTAGGAAAAGGATGGGAAAACAGCATGTGAAAAGTTTCTGAAAACATGGTGAATGATTTTTTTACCAAAAGCGTGATACATTAAAGTCAACTGAAAATGTCTGACAGGCTTAAGGTGGGAAAACAAAGGAACATGACTTACTTCATTGAAAAGATCACTCTTGTGCTTTGCTGATAATAGATAGCATTGGAATAAGCTTGGTGAATTTGTTAAAAAGAGTCACTAGAAAATTAATAAACTGGGTACTTATGTGAAAACAAATAAAATCAACTGGATTTTGATGTAAATTGAGCAAACGAGAAAGTTAACCATGTTACAATTAAATGTTTTATTGTTGCATGGCAGGAAATTATTTACTCAAGATGGAAAAACTCACTTAAGCATGAAAATGTTGTATGAATGGGAATAATCATATGACAGCACTTACACTTAAAAAAACTTGTTTTTATTATACATTAAGTTCTAAGATACATGTGAAGAGCATGTAGGTTTGTTACATAGGTATATATGTGCCATGGTGGTTTGCTGTACACATCAAACCATCATCTACATTAGGTATTTCTCCTGATGGTATCCCTTCCCTATCCCCCTCACACCCCAACAGGCCCCAGTGGGTGATGTTCTCCTCCCTCTGTCCACGTGTTCTCATTGTTCAACTCCCACTTATGAGTGAGAACATGTGGGGTTGGTTTTCCTTTCCGGTGTTAGTTTGCAGATAATGATGGTTTCCAGCTTCACCCATGTCCCTGAAAAGACATGAACTCATCCTTTTTTATGGCTACATAGTAATTCCACAGTATATACGTGTCACATTTTCTTTATCTGGTCTATCATTGATGGGCATTTGGGTTGGTTCCAAGTCTTTGCTATTGTGAACAGTGCTGCAATAAACATACATGTGCATGTGTCCTTATAGTAGAACGATTTACAATCCTTTGGGTATATATCCGGTAAGGGGATTGCTGGGTCAAATTCTATTTTTGGTTGTAGACCTTGAGGAATGGCCACACTGCCTTCCACAATGGTTGAACTAATTTACATTCCCATCAACAGTGTAAAAGCCTTCCTATTTCTCCACATCCTCTCCAGCATCTGCTGTCTCCTGATTTTTAATGATCGCCATTCTAACTGGAATGAGATGGTATCTCAATGCAGTTTTGATTTGCATTTCTCTAATGAACATTGATGATGAGCTTTTTTTCATGTCTGTTGGCTGCACAAATGTCTCCTTTTGAGACGTGTCTGTTCCTTTCCTTTGCCAACTTTTTGACGGGTTGTTTTCTCTTATAAATTTGTTCAGTTCTTTGTAGATTCTGAATATTAGCCTTTTGCCAAATGGATAGATTGCAAAAATTTTTTCCCATTCTGTAGGTTGTCTGTTCACTCTGATGATAGTTTCTTTTGCTGTGCAAAAGCTCTTTAGTTAATTAGATCCAATTTTTCAATTCTGTCTTTTGTTGTCATTGCTTTTGGTGTTTTAGTCATGAACTCTTTGCCCATGCCTATGTCCTGAATGGTACTAATTAGGTTTTGTTACAGCATTTTTGTGGTTTTAGGTCTTACATTCAAGTGTTTAATCCATTTTGAGTTAATTTTTGTATAAGGTGTAAGGAAGAGGTCCAGTTTCAGTTTTCCGTATATGGCTAGCCAGTTTTTCCAACACCATTTTTTATATAGGGAATCCTTTCCCCGTTGCTTGTTTTTGTCAGCTTTGTGAAAGATCTGATGGTTGCAGATGTGTGGTGTTATTTCTGAGGCCTCTGTTCATTTTCATTGATGTATATATCTGTTTTGGTACTCTTACTATGCTGTTTTGGTTACCGTAGCATCAAAGCATAGTTTGAAGTCAGGTAGCATGATGCCTCCAGCTTTGTTTAGTTGCTTAGGATTGTCTTGGTTATATGGGCCTTTTTTTTGTTTCCATACAAAATTTAAAGTAGTGTTTTCTAATTCTGTGAAGAAAATCAGTGGTAGCTTGATTGGGATAACACTGAATCTATAAATTACTTTGGGCAGTATGGCCATTTTCATGATACTGATTCTTCCTAACCATGAGCATGGAATGTTTCTCCATTTATTTGTGTCCTCTCTTATTTCCTTGAGTAGTGGTTTGTAGTTCTCCTTGAAGAGGTCCTTCACGTCCTTTGAATAAAATACCTAGTTGTATTCCTAGGTATTTTATTCTCTTTGTAG